TGTGCGCGAAGATGGTTCCAAAAGTGCTCACTGACGACCAGAAATTGCGGTGAGTGGAAGTGTGCCAAGAAAATTTGAACATGTGTGAAAGTGACCTCCAATTTTTGAATAACGTAATCACAGGTGACGAATCATGGATCTTTGAGTATGATCCCGAGACAAAGGCAAGCATTTTGAGACGACAGAGGGTACCATGCACCACGGCTTTCAAGCCTATTCCGGAGAATGGCTTCGACTCAGTCTTATTACGTTCCAGACAAACCCTGTATAAATTTAAAAGCTGTCGTATATTAGTTTGTGAATTATATCATTTTGAGTGAAGCAACTTTTGTTATTGTTAAAATAAAGATGAAAAGGAATTTTGCGTGTCGATAAAATATTGTATTTTGAAGGGAAAAATACAACAAAAACTTGTCCTGGTGGCAACTTTCCGGTCACTTTCCCAGGAAAATCAATTATCAAGAATTGGTATGCTAAGTTTAGAGGTGATGAAATGAAGGTTGTGAAGGCAGTGAACTGTTGTTACCGACGAAATTTCGCAGGACCGTAAAGTGAATCTATCAAAGCGTGGACAGGCAACAGTCGGCTGGCAAGGTTATGGCGTCTGTATTTTAGGATGCGCAGGGAATACTTTTTATTGATAAGCTTTAGAAAGGAAGGACCATCAACCGTGAAATCGCCGAGAAACGGCCGCATTTATAGGAATATAAAGTGTTGTTTCAGCGGGACAATGCATTACTCGTACTCGTATGTCACAAGTCAGTGAAAACGATGCACCGTATTCTCCAGATCTATGCCCCAGCAACTATTCCCTATGCTCAGATCTCAAACGAACCCTTGCTGGGAAAAAAATTTCGTCCAAAAGAGAGGTGATCGCCGAAACTAAGGCCTATTTTAAAGCAAAGGACAAATCGTAAGAAAAATTGGAGAGTCGCTAATCAGTGTATCACCTATGAAAGGGATCATGTTGGATAAAAAAAAAAAACGGATTTCGGTAAAAAAAAATGTGTGTTTACTTTGGTAGGTCTCTTCACTTTTCAATTGCTATTCGATTCAAATAAACATTTCTAGCATTTATGCTGGTGTGTTGAAGTTGCCGCGTCGCTTATCTTTGTGACAAGTCAAAGGATTTCACATTTCTAACCGAACAATTCTTTGTAATCGTGTTTGATAAGTCTGACCTCGGTCGAGTCATAACAGCATGGGACCCTTTTGTGGATTGTGTTGAAGTGTTCAAAGATTTCCAATAGATTCTGTAGTAAATCTCCTAGCACAAAATACTTATAACTTGAATTATCTGAAATTAAAGAGACTAATCGATTTGATGAGTCTTATAAAATTTCTTCCCATCTCCTTGCTCATATCTATTCGAGTGTTTCCCATTTGTTTGGATACATCTTTTGAGCAAGTCTTTCCGGCATTTTCATAATAATTTGAATAGCTTCTCGATGTGGAGACAAATTTAATAACCTCGAGCTAGATATCTATGTTAAAAGAAAGAAAATTTTATATAAGTAAGAATATACTTTATCGCTGTCATATTTGCTTATACCTTACTTGGAAACCAGTTAGGCTTGTTAGTGTTAGAAAAATACGAAGTAATTATTTGCAATAAATTTCGTAAGCTTTCCGCCAATGTAACCTTGGGCCTAAATTGTATTCAAAATTACAATTTATATCTAATATATACTATACTTGAGCTTTATTATTTTGCTCATAAAATCGGCCTTCTTTAATGCATAAACGAACTCTTGATCAACCAGATAGTCACACCTGAGCGCCGCAAATGCCGACAATTCAATGGCTGCATTTAACCTTTTTATCTAGCGTTACCTTCAAAACTGATACGCTTTGAGCATGTGTAGTATGCACACACACATACATATACGCATTTGCACTTGGTATGTGCATGAGCATAAATATCTGGCAGTATGTGTGCAGTAAACCCCTTGTAACTTTTCGGCATTTACGAGTATTAAGTAGCCACATGTTTTAATTTTTCAAGCAGTCAGAAGCTTAGCATGAAATAATTCACCGACCTTCAAAAAGCGAACATACATACAACACAGTTTCATTAAACCTGATAATCGGTTCACGAAACGGAATACAGGTAGTTCCCTAGCATGCAGCAATTTGGGCATGTGTTCGGTGCACACACACTCATAAATATGTGCAGTATGTTGTCGTATTCTTTTGTATGCTTGCAGTTACTAGTCTCGGGGGTATCTCTAGAGCAGCTCTTGAGTTAACATTTATAACTTGATATTGCACCAATTTCGTTTTCCATAAGACACTTTTCATTCTTCTTCTTCCGATAGTTTACTATGTGTACGATTCGTGTTTGTGTTTACACTGGTTGGTGGATTGGTTTAGTGTGTAACTGTAGTTAAAAACTGATCTTGTCATTGGTGCCGAACACCGCCTTGGATGGTCGGAAATTAAGCATTTGCCGCCAGAATGCTGCTAGAGGCACGGAGATCCATTTGTAATTGCCACCTTAATCGCTCAAATCCCGAGCGTAGCTCATTGATAATCATATACAAATACGAGACATGTACACATGTAATAAAGAAAAGAGTGAGGGAAGAAAAACAATTCAAAACTTGTATCTTTTGACACACTTTGCGGCGACCAACAATTAAGAGTGCAACAAACCAAATACCCAAACTGGAAACTTGCTTTCGATTTGCGCTGAGTGGACGGGCCGGCACGCGGTCGGGGCCAGCAAAAAATGGCAAAATGCAAAACCTAAGCTTGAAAACTGTGCTATGGTGTGCTATATGTTCATAGATGTGCATGTTTGCAGCTATGCGGACTACATTAGCAGCAAGAGTATATAATTAAAGACATACAGATATTTGGCCATTGCGTCAAATGGACGGACGAGCCCTAATTGATTGCATAATCAAACAAAGTTTGCTACTTTTACGTAATCGGTAGTGTTAAATAAATCTATTAAGTATTTTTGTATGTGTGTTATGCAACTTTGGTGTGGAAACTAAAGCACTTATGCAATGTTCATGAAGAAAGTAGGATGCTGTTACTCTGCGCTTCCTACTGAAGGTATAGATATTTTTTGACTCTAAGTGAATTTCCAAACGTCCTTGTGCTTATTTTGGTTAACATAAATAGAGCTCAAAATCTGTAAAAATTGAGATTAATTTTCAATATTTTATGCCCCTTGAATTAAAATTTTTTATAGCGCTTGAATTGATTTAATACATTACTATTTAATACGAAGGATGCGGAGGCGCTTCAACGATTCGCAAAAAACGCGAACAATTAAAAATGTATTCCAATATTAATATATATAATAACATTTGATAAACATGTTTGAAATTGAAAAAGTTAGTTAAGGTTCATGAAATTTCCACTCTTTGCCGTGGGAATACCAAAATTATTTAAGATTGTTGAAATTACTTGGGTAGTTATTTTGAAAGTTTCAGACATCTATTAAAACTTTTATACGTTAACAGATGTCCGTCTGTCTGTCGGTGAATACACGAGCTACTTACTCAGTTGTTGAGATATCGATATACAATTTGAGCCGCTCGTGTTATCGGACCACTAGCATATAGCTGCCATATAAATTAAAAGTTTGTATGGAAGAATTATATAAAAATTTGGTATGGGTTATTGTTATTTAGTGCAGTTATTTTTTAAAATCAAGGAATTAAGAAAAGTTGGTAGGGCTGCCCTTTTTACTATGCGGAATATAAGCTGTCAACCCTTTGTTTACAGCAGCTGCATAAGTTGGTACACCTCTGTAGTGCGTTGGAATTTTTACTATGGATAAACAAAACGAACAAAGAATCTGTCTACAATTTTGTATTTTTAAACAAATTTCGTGTGGAATTGCTTCGAATGTTAGAAAAGGTTTACGGTGACTAAGTTTTATAAAAAAACACAAGTCTATGAGCGGTACAAAGCCTTCAAAGGCGGTCGAAAGATCGTTGAAGACTTGCCTCGTTCTGGACGACCTCTTCAACTCATGAAAATATCAAGAAAGTTAATGATATGTTCTATTATGGTTGAAAGAAGTCAGGCAAGTGTTAGAGAGATGACAAGTCAGCGATAAAGCTAAATGTGTTTCAAAAAAAAAAAAAAAAAAAAAAAACGGTTGTAAACGAATTTAAGGCCAAAAACGCAATGAATACAATTGATCAACCATCTTATTCATCAATATGTTTGTAAGTATTAAAATTAACTTTAAATCTTCAAAATATTTAGTTTTCAAAATATCGACCACAATCTGGCGCAAAATGTAAAATGGTCAAACCAATTTTTTAAATAATATAAAATTACTAAATTAACAAAGGCTCAATTATTTTGATTAACAAATCTTTATAGGAGTCGCTGTTGTTTTACCTCACCAATCACGATTGTTTTTACTAATTTGAGATTTATTTGTTTAACAATTTGTATAAAAATATTTCAGATTTTGGTAGAGGAAGGTAAATGAAAATCTAATATATAATGTAATTTTTTTCTCGATATCTTCCAGAAGACCACTCATTTCGCCTTGCTATTTCCTTTTATAAATATGCTAATGTCTGCTTTAGAAAATAATTTGGATGAATTTTTTGTGAAATTGAAAATTCCGACAAAATTTTCAGCTCTTTATTTTCATTTGTATTTCGCCTTGTTTTTGTTGGTACAACCAAAAGAAAATGGCAAAATGCCAAGCGTGTCTTGCTGTTGGCTGAAGCAATTTTTTAATGGGGCAAACCGAAGATTGCGTATTCTCTGTGTTTTCCTTGTATTAGCACACACGGCTGATTGGCTTTCAGTATGACACATCCCAAAGTAACAGTGCAACTATAAACACATGTACATACGTATCTATATATGCAGGTAAATAAACTGTTGTGTACCTGTTTTTCGTAAATTTTTCGAAACAACAGATGCACCTTACAGTCCCACACACATATGCAGTTGCTGAGGAAAGTTTGTATACACTGGTGAGGCCCCTTGTTGAAATACCCATATATTTTACTTACTCTTTACCGCCCAGATATCGGCTGCATTCAATCCGCGCATGTAAAGTTCCAAGTCCTGGGAGCAATTGTTACCAATGGCCTTCTGGATATTGCTCCAATGCTCCGCCACGCTGGATATATCGAAAATGCTCAGCACATCTCTTAGTCGCACCGAGTTTCGCGGGCTCCACTGTGATGCCGTCACCTTGTTCGTCACCATTTCACCAGCTTGCGACTCGGGTAGCTGGAGATTGATTGTACTATGACTGGACATCATTGCGGGCAGCGATGTGTTAGCGGTTTTGGACAAGTTGCCATTACTGATGGCGGCGCCATATTCCGCTACATTCAAGAAAGTCACTAAAATGGCGAGATAAAAGCCAATGTTTGGCTTCAGCGTTACACGTACCAAGGGGGGGTACATTGTGGACGAAATGATAAACAATTATTAAAAAAAAAAAAAAAAAAAAAATCGGTTTTTGATACACACTTCGTTTGGATTTTATTTTGTTTTATTGATTCGTAGTTTGGTTGTACTTATTCGTGACTTGTTGTTATTATTGACTTAGTGCACTTTCAAAAAATATGGAGCAAATTCCTATTAGCACCCACTGCCTTGTTGACATTTTATTAACGCTTTTCACTTAAGCGCTCAACTTTATTTGTGTTTTCTTTTAATATAACCGAATGTAAGCTACATTATCCAAAATGAAATAAATTTATTGAAGGAAATTGCAGTGCGTGAATTAACCGTTACTAAAGAATTCGAAAAACCGTTCAAGTTAGCGATTCATACACTCTACTGTTATCTGTTTTTTTCGTATTCTCTTTTGCCTTCCAATTTCGACTGTTATACTTGCGCTATGAATATTTCTACAAGTGTTTCGTAACTTCAGGCCTCCATAAATGAACAAAACACCAGAGGAGGAACACTTTTACTTTCCTTATTTACGGGCACCGTGCACTATTGTGGTATTTCGGTGTGTTATTTAACGATCAGCGCGCTGAAATTCGTTTTTGGTATGCCGCGACTTGTTTTCTTACTCAGTGAGCGGGCGAGTGTGTAAAGTACGCAAGCGGTGTCGACCGATTTGCGCGATAGCACAAATTCGAATTGCGGCTGCGCGGCGCGGCTTGTTGTAAAAATACATTTACGGCGTTGGACGAAGGTGGCCGAAATGAAGGTTCGTTTAAGTTTCTATTGGCATAGTGAGCTTGCGCGGCGCTCTCGCGATACTTTTTGGCAACGAACTACAGATTTTGGTGAGCGAATATTATTTGTTTTGAGAACCTTCTTCAAGTCGTGCTCTCTCTCTGCAAGATTACATAGGCTTGTTGTTAATACAAATTACTTTTAGCAAGGACGTCACGAGCTAAACGCGTCTTGACTGATTGGCCAACGAAAGTGAACTGAAAATTGCTTTTCTTCTTTTGAGACAAGCAGACCAGCTTAAAACTCCAGACAATAGTTCGCGGCAAGCGTTGGCCTCAATCTTGTCGCTTCACAACTGCTTGGCTACTTGTCCACTCGATCTGCTCTGCCCAACAATGCTGCTGCTCGTAGCGCTCGTCGCTGCCGAAATCACTTCCCGACTTTAGTTACGCGCCGCAATGCAATCAATGAAGATGATGATACAAAATGCATACACGGCTTTTCTTTTGTTGTTGCGTCTTGCTGCTGTTAACACACACACTTTTTTACATATGTAAGCATGTATGTATGTATGTATTTTATTAGTGGCTAACTGCTGTTGTGTTTCACGTAGCTGGCGTTTCAATGCGGGAAATAAAAAGTTTATGTTGGTCAAAAACACGTAATTCGCTTTTATTTGCTTATTTTGTAACCGTGGGCATCGGTGCAGCGCTTGGCTGATGCTGAGCGTAAGCCAGCGTATTTCTTGTTAACAGCTGTCGCTGAGCATGTGAATACAGCCACTTACACTTGTGTACATTCTCGTGGCTGCGTGTGTATTTAGTAATGGCTTAGGCCATATATTTAAGTAAACGCAGCACACAATTATCTAGGGCTTAAATTATTGCAGTATTCACTTCTTTTTTGTGTTTATTATTGCTCATTGCATAGTCGAATTGGTGCAATTTTCCTCCCATACATCATACAAAATGTATATTTACTTAAGATAGGTTGGTAAAACTTTATGTAATCATGAGCTTTGTAATTGCTGTAATGACTTACTTAGCATGTTTGGTATTGAATTGTGCTTCCGGATGGAACTGTGCAGGATATGAACACGCTGCGCATTCTATTAATTGGTATAATTTATAGGGATGAACAGGTATTTGCTTAGGTATGTGTGCAGGCATGTATGAATTACTTGTTCGTTGTGTGATTGGCAAGGATGCCGATTGAGTTATTGTACCTTGGCCAAGTTCAACGCCATCCATCCGGAAACAAAAGTGAAAAAACCACAGATTCTGATTAAAATTGAAAGCAATATATGCATAGAGTTGCCAACTATTTGTTAAAAAACAGTAATATGTATGTTTTTAAGAAATGAATATGTACAAACGAATCATTAATGTGAATGATGATTGCTGCACCCATCCATCTAAGTATGCATTTTTATGGGGAACAATTTTTAAAATATGTTGTGAAAAAAGCATTTGTGAATACAAACAAAAATGTTATTGCCGGCATTAGATTCCAAATGATTGAACTTGAGGTTTTAATTTAAATATATTTGTTACAAACATTTGCCAATGGGAAAATTATGATATTTTGAGGCTTATATATCGATATGGCGAAGGTTAAACCAAAGAGCAAATGTATCCTTCTGCAGATTGTGACGTTGTCAATGATATACCCTATATTATAAAGAGCATTTCTCTATTCAACATCTCAGAAAAAATGGGTACTTCGAAAATATTTCCACCGACTGAACAAGATTTCCGATTGTTTTCCGATATTTTGGTCAAAATCATGGGAGTTGTTCATCCACCACTGTTTTTGAGCATCGAAAAAGTTAAAGAGAGACCTCAAAATTTCCTGTATACCGGGCTCAACACATTTTGCCTAAAGTTTTTCAATTGATGAAAGGTGTCTGTTGCAAGCAGACTTCAACAATTTGGATGCTTGGTATTATAGAAATGATTTGCTTTTCTAGTAAATCTGGGTTTCCCTCTTCTTATGTAACGAAAGACTATTTACTATAGCAATTTTTTAACTTTGTTGATGTGAGAGTTACTATGGACCTTAAGCTTAATTTTGAAAACAAAATGTATAGTCCTGAAAGCAAAAGGTATTCTCCGTTTTGTTAAACGTTGGTTTAAAGAATTTTGAGATCCGTATATTAATAAAGCTTTTACAACTACCTACTTCGTATGTATATTAGAAAATATGGCTCTGTTGTATGGAACCCTAGTTAGGACATATCCGATGGGATTCTAGGTTAAGCCTCTGACTCACTTTACGAAATTTAAAAGGCTATACTGCTCTCAATAAACCAAATCGTAACAATTCTATTTTAAATCTTAGCTATTGAATTTTGGTTTCTGTAGCTGAGCAGTTTAGATCTCGACGCTTAACAAGTTTCTTGCCTTTCACGACTCGACTTATTCCGCACGTATGCGGATGCGCCCTTAATGTCGTTTGGCGGGAGGAGGGTAAAAGTTGGGTTATTATTTTTATTATCTCATTGAAAGTTTGCAGTATATCCTGATGTTGAGAGTATATATCCGCAAATATATAAGGCTTAGTTCGCCTTTCATTACTTGTTTTTTTCTTTCAGTTTTTAATTTTTTACAAAAGATTTAAAAACCAATTTTGAGGATTACAAATCTCAGAAACTTAATGTGGAAAGGCTTAGTTTCTAAATAAAGAGTCAAAAGACGTCTCATTTTTTCATTTTAATACACTTTGTATATTTGGTTGAACCTCACTTATATATAATCTTTAAATGTTTATGTTTTCGCCTTTTTTCACAATATAAATTTTAGATAACTAAAGTCGAATCATACAATTTATTAAACACTCTCTTCTTTACTTAAAAATCTTATGCTCAAAATTGAATGTGTGTATGTTCGAACTCCGCACCCGAAAAGTAGATAAGTATGCAAAGTATGCCGAACTTATTAACGGTTTCAATCGTAAATTTTCACCTGCCTCAGATCAAACAATTATGTATGTAATTTTGCCATTCACACACACAAACCCACGTGTACATATCAGAGACTGTGTTTCATGAGTATTTCTTACTTTTCCGCCATTTACTTTGCCATTCACATCCGTGCCTTTCGACGCTAGGGAATCGTCATTGGTGTCGCCAGTTTGATATTGAACGAACGAATGTTATATACATATGTAGTATATACTTGTAGTACATTGAAAATATCGGTACTCGGCATTGCAAAGGCCAGTAAAAGTCAAGAGAGGGGAAGGAAATAAGAAATGTAAAATTGAAGAGAGAAAGGCATAACTGACTTAGTCGCTTGCTCCGTGAGATTCGCTAAGCTCGCGTAGGCTAGGAAAGCGCAAGAGGATACCACGAAGAAGAAACGCAAACATAAAGGTCACCAGCAGCTATTGCATAACCGCTATTTGTCGAATGGATTTCATTGTAAAATAAGCTGTGTCGAAAACTTTTGCAGCTTTATGTGCCTCTAGCGCAAATAGGTTTAACTGCCTATGTGTTTGTATATGCTTTACAACGGCGTCTTTTGCCTTAAATGTGATGACTGCTTTTGTTGATGCTGCTGTAATGTTGGCAATAGATCCGTAGTAGGTCTCCATTGGCTGCGCTGCGGAGCTTTAGTTGATTTGTTCACTTTCCGTTTCGTGTGCTTCTGCGCACGCGCATTCGTCCCCGTCATCTCACCTTTTCTTAATGGATGTTAGCGAGTTCATCTTACGTGTGTGTGCTCTGTGTGTGTTTTATGTTTGCCTATTTATTTGGAAGTTAGCTCATTTCGGTGTTACCTTATTCATTTTTTTACCACCGCCTGCAGTTATGTAATATTTGGCGATGAATGAAGTAGAAAAATGAAGTGAAATAAACTAAACTATTTCTGCCGGTCCAGCAGTGCGATTTACTCCCTATCGAGTTGTTATCTGGGAGAAGGCCGAGTTGCAGAGAAACATAAATACTTTCTGTGTTTGCACATAAAATTTGTTATGATTTCTGTTGGATTTGGTGAGCGCGCACACAATATTTGTTTTTGCAACACTTTATTATCTTCAAAAATAGCGATAAACAAGTAAGAGAGACTAAGTTCGGGTGCAACAGACCATTTTGTACTCTTGCAACTGGCACTTGCAACTGGCAAGAATCAAAGCCAGCGAAATACCTTAAGGTGCACACAGTCACTCAGCGGATAGGAATCCAAGCAAGTATATATACAGTTGAACTTCCCTAAAAGAATTTTATGTACCGAATTTGATTAAAATCGGTCAAGAAGGTCCAGAAATACATGTGTGATTTAAGTCTTAAGTTAAGTTAGTGTCTCTGGCGTGTTTCTGTGACGGGAAATGGGGGAAACTTCCCCCAAGGTCTAACTGGCTGATTAAAAATTTTACTACTCTGGAAAAATATAAAGTAACGGAAATAAAATGCAGAAATTTAGCATTTAATTTCAGAAGCAAAATTAAAGACTGTCTAAATTTTTGAATATAATATGTTATGATAAGAGTCAACTGAAGCTACAAAGTGTAGCAATGTATGCAGTTTAAATTGTGAATAAACCCTATGAGATCCGTAACTGAAAGAGCTAAATTTGAAGCGGCGCGGCTTGATAGATATATTGAAATAGATGCTGCGATTTATTCCCCAAATTTTCGGAATTTGAAAAAATCGTAGCTGGAGAAATAAGGATACAGCGGGAAAAGCAACGAAACAAATTTCAATTTATAATTGGGAGTTAAAGATGGAATGTCACATAGGTAAAAATTACTCATTCACTCAGCGTATTATATATGACATTATATTATGGATAGATAGATTCAAAGGCCGTGTGACGTTTGAAGCTCAAAGATGAACTTGATTACTGGCAGTGCCATTGGGGGTAGAACAAAAGTTAAAAGCAACAAGTTACCTGCATACGAAATGTTGAAGTACAGCGATGTAGACCTATACACCATAATTCTTAGTTTTTTCGCATATACTGTACACTTTCTGTGACAACTGCGAGCTCTGAACGCTCTTTTCCGACATTTCGCCGCAAGATTACGCGGCTGAGGACGAACATGCTTCAAGATAGATTGATCGGCCTGGCATGCGGCGCGCGCTTCATGACATTGAAGCCACTGCAGAAGAAATTATAGAAGGATTCTCAAAACTTGGCCCACATCGTTTTGTTTGCAATAAAGTATTTCACCCGCACGTCTACGATATACTATAATGTGTTTTTCAATTTAGTAGGATTTGATATTA